ACTTTTGCCGCCTCAGGGTAAAAACGCATGCGCTGGGCATTCTCCGTGTCTACTACCTAGCGTTGGCTAGTGATGGGATCCCTGACCCCGAAGAACTCAGGCTCTCCTCACGCCTTGAACTCCCTGAACGAGGGAGCTCGGGCCCTAATCTGGCCTGCAACAATCTCGGCTCGGAATGACCCGAGCCTCTCCTCTATGATCTCCGTGATGACCTCCTTTGACGGTACCGAAAATCACCGGGGTAACGTCAAGGATGCCACCAGTAAACTCGGCTGCGATAAGATCACACAACCTCTAATCCATGGGCTCAGCATCGGAGCCTGAACTTGATCATCATCATGATCCTGAACCTCGTGTGATCATCACCATCCTCAACTGAAAATATAACAAATAACCAAGATAAGGAATTTGAAAGAGATTCCTCCTCACCAGACTGCTAAGAACTATCAGGTCTGTCATTTCTTTGGGTACAGGGCCTGTGCTTTAAGTAGTACTAGCCCAATACTATCTTCCACAACTACCTTTACCTTCCCCAAAGCCATACATGATATCCCTAAACCATCCAATCACAAATCATAACTCATAAACACAGAACTAACTCAGATCCTAGACTGTCCTAGGATTCTCAACCCTCACCAAACCAGGAACCCAAATTTATCATAGTAGGTTGTCTATGCATGCAAGACTATACACAAAGAGAATCACATAGAATGTCAAATAAAGCTTCTACCTTAAACCACAACCAAACAAGGAACAAGAACAAGGCAAATTCCCTCATTCGAGGGCTATGCAATCCTAAACATGTACAACTTTGACATCATACACTTAGCAAATAATCCATACAACCATATTTCCATATATACTACAACATGATTAAAACATTGGGAATACTTACTTGAGCTCAGCCGATTACACGCATTGCATTCTCCCTGTTTTCTTTCAAAAACTGTTTTCAAGAAATTTAACTATGGTTTCTTTTTGAAAAGAAATTGTTACCATTTCCTCAGTTTGAGTTCTGACACAGCTAGAAGTGTGCCTGAATATCTCAAACCAAGGCTTTGATACCAACTTGTAACAACCCAATTTTCAAAAAAAATTTAAACTTTTAATTTCATAACATCATCCACTGGAAGTACAAAAATCCCAATACATATCCATATTATTTTTGAATTCAGAGTACAAAAACCTAAATGTGAAAACACTGGATAATGCATGCCACGTTATCAAGCCGTGCCCTTGCCCTTATCAATAGAAGTACCTGAAACATTTAATAAAACTGTAAGCACAAGCTTAGCGAGTTTCCCAATCACAAAAATCATATAATCACATAATGTCATGCTCATATATATACATACAAGTTGCCATGGACTCCCTCCATGGTCTTCAATGGAATGCCATGGGCTACCCCCATGGTCTTATATCTCGTGCCATGGGCTCCTCCCATGGTCTTCACATAAACCCATACATAGATCAAATAGCAAACCATTATACATTCCATTACTAATCATCTCATATCAATTAATGGGCTGGCATTGGTGTTTTCGAGCCATGAGTGTGGTGATAAGACTCACCTCAATACTGAACGGTAGCTGACTAGGTCGGGACTCCAAATATCTGCTCTACACCACCGTATAATAGTAACAATTTGATAAATACAACTCAAAATGCCCCAAAGCCCCTTAAAGGTCAAACTTTGTCAAAGACTAGGGTTGATGGTCAAAGTCAACGGCCTGAGTTGACCCAACTCATCGAGTTGTTGCTCAACTCGTCGAGTTTCTCCATCATCCGTATAGATCGGGAAAAATCCCATCAACTCATCAAGTTCACTAATGAAATCGTCGATTTGGCCAGAAATCTAACCTCTTGATGCATTATGCTGATACCATCGAAACCAGGGACTCTGAAACTCATATCTATTCCAAAATGATGTCTAGAAGGGTAAAGTTTCCAACTTTACCCTTAAGAACCATCCAATAAGAAGCAAACCCAAACCCTAGGCTCTTTAGAGTGAGTCTTAATCTGTTAAGTCCTTGAACTCTCCTAATATAGTCCCAAAACACAGATCTAGAGTCCAAAGGTCGGATAATCACGTAAAGTTTCCAACTTTACGTCCATGCAAGCTCGAAATACACTCTATAGCTTAATAAGGACTTAATGAGGGACTTATTTCATACATGGGGATTGGAACTAATAAATTTTGCAACTTTCAGCCATGAGAAGTCATGAAGGGGTTAGATCTAACACAATAACCCCTGGAACCTTCAACATCTTGGCTAGCCCAACCAAAATGCTAAAATCATGTTAAAACTTCCATTAAAGAGATCTAGTTGATAACAAAGCAAGATGTCGACTTTTTACCTAAAAAGAATGCTAATGAAGAAGAGTTTCTGGATCCAAGGTCCTCCTTCCAAGGTAGGTACTTCCAACTTCAAAGCTCCTTCCAAAGAATCACCAAAATCAACTTTCCAAGCTCCCACAAGCTCACACACTCAATCTTGCAAGGTAATACACGTATCTAGTGTTTGTGGACAGGGGAGGCTGGTAAGGAGGCCAACCAAGGGGGTTTAAGGTCTTTAAATAAGGTGTAAAACCCTAAAATTAGATTTTTCTTCAAAGTCGCTAACTCGTCGAGCTGGGACACCCCGACTCGCCAAGTTGGATCATTAAAACCCACGGCCACAACCCTTTTCAACATGACGAGGTGGAGCTCCCCAACTCGTCGAGTTCCAACAATAATTCCAAATATTTAAGAAATGATTTATACCTGAACCAACCGTTACAGAAATCACACAACAAGAAATGTCACCATTAGCGACTTCCATGTTTATTAATGCGTTCTACCGACGATCTGTGTGACCCATGCGATAATGAAGTGTGGCCCTACTTTTGTACCTTGATCCAACGACTAGGATTTATCTTCGTACAATGCAATAACGACGATGGCAATTAAGGATACATTGTTGCCATTAATATTCACAATCCATGTGAATCGTGACCCTATGTTTGTACCTTGATCCAACGGCTAGGGTTTATCATTATGCAATGCAATAACGATGATCATTTGCTTACAATTTGTCGCCGCTATTACCTCCTTGTCACCATTAAAGGATTTGATGCTAAATAGTTACACCCTTTTGTTCGTTCTTCATCCCAGAACGGGCGTGCTACCCTCTGATTTTCCCTTTCGAAAAATCTGGCAAATTTTGTGATTTCAGACTGTTTTCCATCCTCACTGAAATACGAGCTCCACATGGTACTAGCGACAATTACTCAGCTTTTTCCGGTGAAGGTTCGTTCTCTTCTCTTTTTTCTCTCTCTTTCTCTTATGACCAACATTTCCACTCTAACTTCATGATTTTGGTGGTTTTAAGGCACCACAATTACTGCCATGTTATTCTCCGGCGACTAACACCACTACATCACCACTGGTTTTTTTTAGCTGATTTTCAACGACCACATGTGAATTAATGTGTGTATTTATGTGTATTAATTTGGTATACGTGTATGTATGCGTATTTGGCATAATCAAGAAAATATGTTTCATTGTATGTGTATATGAGTATCATTTTATGTGTATTTAGTATAATCACAAATATATATATATATATATATATATATATATATATATATATATATATAAAATTTACGTATATGTGTGTAAAATGTGTAATATAGTGATTAATATATGTATATGTGTATTTGTATTTTTATTTAATCAAATATATATATATATATATATATATATATATATATATATATATATATATATATATATATATATATATATATATATATATATATATATATATATATATATGTGTGTGTGTGTGTGTGTATAATGTATGTATATGTGTGTGAATTGTATGTGAAAAATCCATAGCCTTAGAGATGTGTTGATTAGGCAGGTCTTCAAAACTAGAATTGCATGTATATATTTGTGTATAATGTATGTATATGTATGTTTATTGTGTGTATATATATAATGTATATTATAACATAATTAGGCTAGCCTTCAAAAATACATAATATCTAAAGTACAATGCTATAACTGAAAAAAAAAGTAGGATGTTATAATTCACAATGTCATTTAAAGTACAATGCTATAATGGAAAAAAAACAACGTAATTAAGATGCTATAAATAAAAACTTATGAAAACGTACAATATCATAATAGAAAATTAAAAATAAATGTAAGATGTTATAAGTAATAAAATATGGAAAAGTAAGATGCTATAAATAACAAAAATATACTACAAATTCTAATAAGTTAGTTAAAATAAAATGTTATAACATAATAGAAAAAAAACGAAAATATTAGAAGCAAAATCTTCTAAGTTATAATCAATTAAATTAATTATTTAAAGTACAATGTTATAAAAAAAAGTAGGTTTTTTAGTTTAAGCCTCTTCCTTTTAAATTATCAAGGTCCTAGAAATACCTACTCGTAATTGATTTAGAATTAATTTTGGGTTGTCCCCATTTTTGGGACTACTTTTTGAATAACTTATATCATTTAGGATGTGAATGCGTATTAAATGATTGATTGTTAAGAAAGATTCGGTTGTTATTTTCTCTTTACTCATTGCGTATATATTTCTATATATACTTAGGAGATAAGGGGAAATGTTGCCGAATTTTTCTTAAACGGTTAATCATGTAATAAATATTCACATTTGAGGTAAGGTATTTAAAAAATGGGTTTAGAAGCCTACCATTGTGAATACTTTATCCGTTGTCCGATTTTTGTTCTTGTTTCGATACTGCTTTTTGAATCATCTATTTTTACTCTACCTTTATGAATATTCCATCCGATTTAACGGCTACTATATCCTTATAAATATTTCATCCAATTTTTAGTTCTTGTAGATTAAACGCTAAAACATACTTATGTTTTAGTTGCAACATGTCTATTGATAAAACATGAACTACTATTGAAAATTGTAACTCTACCGAGTTCCAACCAACACTTGAAGGTGCAACTAGGATAAAATGGAAAATCAATGACTTCTTCTTCTTTAAGCAACAATATTAGAAGGTTCTGTTGTGGAGATATGACTAGAAAGTACATTATGGAATCGAAAGAATACAGGTCGGAGGTTCCTTGGTTGCCCAAGTTACATGGTATAGATTCTTAAATTTCACACTTTTGAAAAGTAGCTCTTAATTAAGATTTAAATTTTCAAGTTTTTATGTTATGTAGTTTGAAGAGAAGGATTGTGGGTATTTTTGTTGGATTAACCCACCAGTGTTGACTAAGTGGTATAAAGAGAAGTTGCTCGAATTGGGAGTTATTGCTAATGATGGTGTAGTTGTACCTATTAAAGACCCTAATGCACATGTGCCTTTAAATGTGCATGTTAATCAAGTTAAAATACATGTTAATGACCCTAATGCCCCTATCAATGCCCTTGAACCTGTTAATCAAGTTGGAATACCTATGAATGCGCATGTTCCTACTAATGTAATTGGATTCTGAAAGTGGATGATGGTTTATTTGGTGTGTTTCATTGTTGGTAGGTTATATGGTTATTTTAGTATAAATTGTAGGGTAATTGACCATGTAATATGTTGGTTTGATGTTTTGGTCTAATGGGAATTTGAACATGTAATCTTTTGGTTTGTTGTTATGGTGTAATGGGAATTTGAACATGTAATCTTTTGGTTAATGAAATGTGAATATGATCTTTTATTTTGTATATGCAATGTGCCTAGTGATTTCATTTAATTTATATATGTACGGTACCTAGTTACTCCGTTTACTTGGTATATGGAGGATACCATAATCAAAAGGAACAAGCACTAATGGTTGTTTAGTGCTCTTATTAAATAGGTCTAAAATCTCTTTTTTACCCATAGATTTTAGAATTTAATCTAATGTTGAGATTAAAGGGATTGAATTACTGTCATTATGTGTCTTTTCAAAATTTGGTGTGGTTTATGAACTTTGATTTCATCAAATAGAGCAATATAGTTAGGCTTCAACTTGTTCCATCGGTTTAATTTTATTATTTACAGAATAATTTAAGAGTAATGTTCAACATTTGTTTTATATTTACGAACTTTGGTGTGATGGAATAATTTTAATGGAGTAGTTTGATTATACCAATCTTTGATGATGGATTGATATTTATTTGTGTGTTTGTTTTTATTTGTTTGTTGGAAATGCAAGGAATTATGTTTAATTTGGATTTTGCGTATAAATCGGGACAGAATTTTCACAAGGCTCAGTTGTGATATTTTTTTGTAAACCAAAGGAACCCATTTTGTATATTTTTGTCCCAATTTTTTTTTGAACGGCAGCTTAACTGGTTAGTTGTTAGTATTAATACTTCAAATCTTGTTAGCACGGATCCATCATGAACTCCCTATCCTTAAAAACTAAGAGGGTTATTCCCAATTGGCTTGTCCCAATTAAATTTGTTTCGAGGGGCTTGTTTTTTTCCTTTCTTTCAGGACCAAAGTATATTTAGACGGAGTCATGGTGGTTAATAACTCTAAAATAAAGTCACCTAAAATTTATTCACCACATCTAAAATCAAGGATATCATCATGTGACCATTGTTACGGACAAATAAATAGTTTCGAATTTCTCTTTCGCATGTAAATAATAATAATATACACTAAAATTATAAAGTACGCTCTTTCCCTTTGGTTTTTTAAATACAAAGAAATTGCATCATTTTAGATATTTATTGATTTTGAGTGTCAATCGACATTGTCATCCATTACAACAAAAGCGAACGATTGACAATAATCGTGGAAAAGATGTGGGGGCGGTTAGATAAATGTGACAAGAACCCGACGGTTTCTAGACACAATAAAAACATGTTCGCAAGATCCTCCAACAAATAAAAATCCTAAATTAATATACAACTTATATCATCGAATTTTAATTTTTGTGGGGAAAATAGCATTATCAGATGTTTTTTTTATTATTTACCTTAAATGTTGTGACAAAAAAGAAATGGCAAAATAATTTGGGGATATAATCGCCTGCAACCAATAAAATTGCACTACCATGTTATTAATAGAACAAAATTAAAAGAAAAACTATTATAATATCTATTTATTATAACTTTTGTGCATTAATAATTTTGGTTAAATGGGCCTATTGCATTCATTGGAATGGAAGGACAATGAGTCGGTATATTAATTATTCTTCAATGTGTAGGCCAATGGAAAATTTTATTTACTATTTTCATCTACAAAAAGAAAATAAAATCTGTATTTATTACAAAACTTTTTATTATAAAAAAATGTCATTTAAAAACACCGACTACGTAAGTTTTGTTTTATATGAATATTAAACATCCATAGATCTATAGAGAATCGAATGATCACGCTATACAGTCGGTTGAATAAAGCCAGGGAGAAGTAGATAATTTAAAATGTATTTTAAAGGTTGTTTTTCTTTTAGATAATTTTATATATTTTGTTTTAAAATTGATTGCTTTGACATTAAATAAGATACTTACAAAACCAAATCTTATTTTTTAACCGGATCATATTGTTCCAGAGTTGTCAATCCATATTTTTACACAACCGCATTTTATTAAAAGAACTCTCAAGTACAAAGAGTTATAAAGAAAAGGGTTTTGCAACCATTCAAATCAAGTAACATACTTGTAAACCAATTAAAATAATGAATAATTATACTTTCAAAAATATAACACTTCTTTGGTATGTTTTGAAGACTTATACGACCAAATAATCCAAATGGTTGTGATACCAATTAAGTGACGAGTCTATAACTGAAAACCACGTGATTTTCTATTTAAGTGAAACTGAAAACCACGTGATTCCCTATTTAAGTGAGACTTAGAAATCAATGTATGGCTAGCATGAATATATTATAGTAGAACATGTTAACTATATGTTAATCAAATTAGAAATGAGTTGTTGGAATAAAAGCTATAACTTTAGTTAGGACAAAAATGATACTTGCAAAAGAAGATAAAGAGTATACATAATTATTTAAAATATTAGTTTCAAAATATTATTACTTATCGAATATTATTGTGTTAATATTTATGTTAAAACTTATATATAACACACGACAAAAAGTCTTACCTGGTGATGATACCGTGTCGAAATTGATACCGAACCGTACCGAATTTAAAAATACGAAACGGTACTCGGTGCTTCAAAATCATAAAATATGGGATTCGGTACAAGTGGTACCGATACTTGTACCGAAAACCGATATCGTAACGCCCGCATATTCGGGCTAGTCAATTTACAGATAATAAGCGTTAAAAATGATTTTTTGATAGAATATTATTTAGGATACATAATCATAACTAAAGTTATAATATATGTCACAAGGATTCCGTACACATAAAAAACACTAAAATCGGACTTATAACGAAGAAGTTATTACCCGCTGAAGTTTCATGAATAAACCAGCATGGCTCTGCGTATCGTAAAAAGTAAATTTTTGATAAATTACTTTTTAGCTTTAGTAATCTAATGAAAGTCGTAGTAGTCGTTAAACCAAGAGCGTGCATATAGAGAACGTCCAAATTTGACTTCATTTGAGAAAGTTGTGATTTTTCTACGATTCAGTGTAACAGTATACAACATTGAAATCGAATTTTAGATCGATCGATTATTAGCCAAAACTATCTAAATGAGAATTAAAGATCTCGTTAATAGGAGCTCAACGATATACAGACAGTCGAACAGACGTCGGATAACAAAGTTATGAATTTTTAACGGACTTTAACTATCTAAGACTGTTAAAATATAACATTAAAAATAAAGTCAAAATTAGTCAATAGAGTCTGAACGAAAGTTGTAGATCTCGTCGATAGCTACGTGTGGATTTAAAGAATGTCAAAAACTGAGCTCGTATGCGAATGTTATGAATTTTACAAGATAATTAATTTTCGGATTAACCTCAGTGTGACACGTGTCGCGATCTGGTGCACCCCCTTCCTTCCCACGGCTTGCCACCAGATGCTAACATGTGGAAAATTACGCCCAACGTAATTCTTATGTATGCCTAGTGTAACCCTGTTTAACCCATTACACCCAACGTAATGTTGCATACGTCTAGCGTACTGGGCACATTTCAACCTATAAATAGAGGCCGAATTTCTCTCTATTCCTCACACCTTTTCATTCTATTCTCTCCCACCCCCCCCCCCTTAAGGCCTCAATTCCTTTCTCTAGCACTTCCTAAGTGTTAGTAGTGAAGCTTCTGAGTGCCAGAAAGCCTCGAGAAATAGAGCTTTCGATTAACAAGTTATGCCCACGTAGAGTCCGGTTTTTCGCTAAACCATCTGTAAGTTGAGTTAAGCTTACATTGCTTTATTTATAACTTATGTTTAAGTTCATTATCATTATTATGAACCTATAAACAACATTTATCAGTGATTCCAAGTCGTTATACTGATTGATCTACTTAAGGGGATGACGTATAGGCTGGATTTAGTGAGGTGTTTAAAGTGGGATTTCCAAACAGTATACTTTGTATACCAAATGAACCCTTTCTCTGCTATGATCCTACCTGGTTATCCCTTATCAGTTATAGATAAGTAGACTTTGAATTAATGATGAATCTAGACTAGTAATTAGTCACAATAAATATTAGACTAAGACTTGGTGATAATAATATTAGGTTACATCAAGGGAAAAGACAGTTGCTAGAAGCGAAGCGCTGTCCGAGGTTTGAATCATCACATTTGTTGGATTATATGTCTAAGCTCATAACTATTATTGGTATGTACTTGACCCGAGAGTAGCATGGTCCATTTGGGTTGCATATCATCAGGACAATTTATTAGGATGGATTCTTGAGAGAATGTTATATATGATTTGTTAATATATTATAAGTTATAATATATTAATATGAAATCATATGTTTTAATTAGTATTGATCAAGAATTAATTTGGAATTAATTTTGTGATCAAAAGAGACAAATTAAATCTATGGGGACTAATTATGGTAATTAGTTATATTTATATGTGTTGGGCTTATGATCCATGTTGGACCAAGTTTATGTATGGACACATAAAGAGTTGGGCCACATGAACCATGGATCATAGAACTCACGGGTATGGATTTGGGTTATACCCATGACCCTTGGAATCCAACATATAAATATGTACTCCTTAGCCAAAAAACGCCTACACACATATTCTTGGAGTTTATGAGGTGCTTTTGGTGCATGGAGATTCTCTCTCAAGAGCCACCTTTGTCCTAGGTGAGTTGTGAGCCATTTGAGGCATTCATACTTTTAGTGCTAAGCTCTTAAGGCCAAATACAACAAGGTTTCAAGCTACATAAAAGGTATGTCATCCTAACTAGTATTTCATATTGTTTATGTCAATTGCATGCTAGTTATAGGCTTAATGCTTTGGAAATACCATTACATGTATAATTAGAGAAAACATAGATCCAAGGCATTTAGGATTGTATGTGCACCATAAGATGTTGTAGTATACTAAAACCCATCAGTAGTATCAGAGCCA